TTCTCCTTCACTGATGTGCGTTGATGAGGCTACACTGATAGGTGGCACTGATGATGGGCACTGACTGACGGCACTGCTGGTCTGCACTGATGGGCACTGGTGGGTGGCACTGCTGGGCACCGATCATCAGGGTGCTGATCATCAGTGCCCTGATGATCGGTACCGATCCCTCCTCTGACAACTGCCAGTTCCCGGCAGTACTTTCCTCACGCTGTGATAGCATGAGGAAAGTGCAGCCGATAACCGGCAATTGCATTTCCTGGTGATCAGTGTGTCACTGGACACGGCTGATCACGTGGTAAAAGGCCACTGTGATTGGCCTTTTACCACATCACGTGATCAGCTGTGTCCGTAGGACATAGAGATCGCCAAGTGTGCACAGGATAGCGCATAATGGGAGGACGTCATATAACGCTCTCCAAGAACTGGCCAGCCACAGTGAAGCAGTCATTCGTCTATCTGCGGTCGGCAAGTGGTTAACCTGTATTTAGGTCTGCAGTTGCAATGTTCTGCACATTTGGGTGCTTGAAAGTTTGGTTGAGATCTGAGCTAAGCACACTATCAACTGTGACAGTTATCACCAGAGGCATGCCCTGAATGTAGCATACACTATGCTTGCACTAGTGAGCGAAATATAAATGAAAACCACTGAAGAAAAGAACATTGGCATGTTTTATTAAATATTTAAAAACATTTCCAACTTTAGTTTTTTGGGGGAAACAAATTGGTTTAAAATGGTTAATTAACCTCCCTAGCGGTCTGATTATGTCCATATTTCTGTGCTCAAAGCGGTACATTTTTTTTCGCATGGAAATATGTATTTTTTTTATTGTAGGCCTGTAATTTTTAGGAATAACTCACTGAAATCTGTCCGAACAAGAGTCTAGTAAACATCCCGGGTATGTTAAAATTTGAAACACGAAATCATAAATTACAATAAATAATCATAAAAAATAATAATATAATAATACATTTGATTCAATAATATAATCAAACCAAAAACACTGAAATTTTAAATATAGCGCTAACTTCGCACATCACTGAGCAAAGTCGCAAAATCGTTTTCAGTGTCTGATGACGAATTTCCCCACGAATCATTATCACTCAGTTCTGCAAGTAGTTCTAATTTACTATCGCTGTTCTCTAGCTGGTCTAAAAACCGCTTTTGACCTAAAGGGACGCTTTTTGGACGCCATGGACATTTCTCAGTTTCCAGGCAGAAAGAACGGTAAAAATGCAGGCAGGGCACAGGACAAAGCACTAGGGACAAAATGTATGTGAAATGGTTTGATACGATAATGTAATGTTATACTATGTGATTTTAGTGTATTTTGTGAATGTCACTTTTTCACATTTTTAAATTTCCCACCGTTCCGTCCCCTGTACGTCCTGACATCGCAGGGAACGGAACCCAGAAGACAGATGCCGGCATCGGTCGGAGGACATTGCCGGGGACACTGCAGGAGGGACATCGCAGGAGCGCAGGACAAGGTAAGTGAAGAAGAGATCCCGGAGCAGCGCTGCAAGGTATTCCCGAGTGTAGCTCGGGGTTACCACTTGTGGTGCTGAAACTTTACCCGAGCTGCCCTTGGGAATACCTCCAGGGAGGTTACGGGTTGCCAAGCAAATGAGTAATACAAGGCTATGAGTCATTACTTGAATTACTGTATGCAGCTACACAAACTTTCCTGCTTCTTTAAATCTCTAAAAAAAACACTAAGAATTTTATAGAGCTAAACTAAGTTTAACAACTTATTCCAAATTGCCAAATGGAAAAACAAAGTCCGATACACCATACTTACTTGCAGCAGCAGTTGGGAAACAGCACCCCTGAGAAGAACTCCATGCCCACAATGGAAAAGGAATAGTAGAAAATAAGCAGTGTTAGGCCTAGACTGTAAGGAAAGAAACAAAATAAGGAAACAGGCAAAACTATACAGATTAAATAAAAGCATTTATGTATCTTCATGCTGGTGGATGACAGGTTACCTGGCCATCCTTGGTAGCAACTCGAACATGGTATCTAACACTGTTCTGTATCTCTTCTTCAATTTAAATAGCCTGAAGGGAATATGAATATGCATAAATTGTGGAAGCTCTAGGAGGCAAAAATGATATCAAAATGTTCCATTACCATTTTTATTATTGTTAATGATTTATATTGTGAAATCTTCTGAGGTACTGTACAAAATTAGTGATACAAATAATATAATATGTAAACACAAAAAATTTCCAGTGACAAGCACTTTTCATTTCTACAGTAAAGCTTACAAAGCAATAACAAAATGCAATGGAAGAACTGCCCTGACAAATTTAAAATGCAGAATATTCCTTCCTAAGTATTTTGAGATTTAACTTCTATGACTAATATTTTCCCTTTGAGATTAATAAAGTGTTCTGATTCTAATGACAATGGTTGTAACATTTGTTAGTGTTATTTATGCATGTAAGAGATTCTCCAAATCTGCATCCTAATCCAGCCATTCTCAGTCAGTCCCATATTGTTTACTACATTGTTTGTGCGTGTGCTCACAAAGCTGTTATAAGAGCGCACCATCTACTGAAATAAGAAACACCCAGTTTAACATATAAACTCACCTGAGTAGCTGCAGAGGTCTCAGGACTACAATAAAGTAGAAAGGCTTCATATTAAGGGCCAGAGCTAGGAGTCCCAGCAGTGCCAGCAAGGTCACAGAAAAATCAAAGCTATAACATAAAACGCGCCCCAAGAAAAAAGAAAAAGACTGTAAAATACAAAAAATGTCAACTTTGCTCTGTACGTGGATAAAAAAGCATTAAAAAGCTTAAGAGCCAGTCTCGACTGGGCTTATGGAAGAGTCTCAACAATATATTTAAGCAGGTGTGTTTATTTGTGCTTTACACATTTTGTCAAAAGGATTTCAAAGCAGGAGCTACATTAAACCTGGCCATACACGTAGATTTTTGGACGAGAATATTTGTTTAAAAAAAAAAAATTGCATGAAAATTCTTTGCACATTTGATGAATGGACGTATGTCGTTCAAAAATTGCCTTTTGTTTTTAACATTTGATTTTTAACTGAATATAGTTTCTGAATGATAACTGCATACACAAGCCGAAAATTTGTTTGATTGAGAAAAGTTTTCTTTCCCGCCTCTTTGAATTTTCCCATCACTGCTGTCAAAAACGAACATCAATTTGGCCCCACTAATGATTAGAAAAGCAAACAAATATTCTTGAAACGAGAATTCTCTAACGAAGTCTACGTGTATGGCCAGCTTAGCTGACACGTATAACCTACCAATCACTTGATCTACACGTTACCTACTAGACATGAATGACAGTCTCAAATAACCAAACCCATCCTTAAGAAAAATTATTTATTCTGGCCAATGAAATTAATGAATGCCCAAACGCTTGACACGGATAAACAAGTTACACTCTTTTACAAGTGTCAGGTGTTCTTTTTGGCAAAAACTCTGCTACCAGGAGGCTTCTAGGAGAGTTAAAAAAAAAAAAAAAGTCAAAAAGTGTGTGCACGAGGCCTAAATGGTATCGGGGAAACACTGCAACCTTGTTAAACCTCTATCCAAGTTAATTTGTCTGGGTAATCTACTGCAGACAAATACCAGTGAGCTGTTGTGTTGAACAACGTACTCCCTTGCTACTCAATTTATGACCAAATTTAAACTACCAAAGCAGGCCCAGCACCTGGTGTGCTTGGGGAAAGCTCTCTTGCATTAAAAAGACGTAAGCAAAAGGGGTTTCTAGATTATTAGATTACTGACAAATAGAAGTGGGGCTGCCTACTGCAGTACATCAATACATGGATAAAAATCTAGTGTGTAGGTTAAACAAAGTGCCAAACTGGCCATACACCTTAAGATTTTTCTCATTCCACCCACTATCTGAGCGCTGACTCAGAACAGACATAAAGCTTAGGAACTGTCAACACTTTTCTGACATTCATTTACAGCATGCTTTTTTTTATAAACACACATAGGGGGTTATTTGCTAAAACTGGAGAGTACAAAATTTGGTACAGCTCTACACAAAAACCAATCAGCTTCCAGGTTTTATTGCCAAAGCTTAATTGAACAAGCTGAAGTTAGAAGCGGTTTGGCTACCATGAACAGCTGCACCACATTTTGAGTGCTCCAGTTTTAGTAAATCTACCCCATAAATTCTTATGGCATAACAGGTACACTTCAATTAATTTAAACTGAGCGTGTGCTTTGTATTTGATGGGCAAAACCACAGGTTCAATTTAATGCCCCCCCCCCCCCAGCAGCATATCACTTTTTACTGCCTGCTGCTCCAAGGAGCTGGTGGGGAGGGGGGGCGCTCAAGTGGGGGGCTCAAGTCAGGGCTTTCACAGGGATTATGGTCCCCCTGCCCCATGTGACAGTGCTGGACCATAATCACAGAACTAGCACCATAACATAAATTGATCACATTCCATCAAACCCAGGAGTAACTCCCAATGGCTGAACAGAACAGAGAATGAGGGAAAAATGAATATGTGCTGTGGAGATTGGTGTTTGAGAATTTTGTGCTCAGGGGCACAGTCATGCTGGAACAGAAAAGAGCAGTCCACAAACTGTTTTTACAAAGTTGGAAGCATAGAAATGTCTAGAATTAGTTTGTATGATGCAGCATTAGGAATATAGTGAAAACGAAATCATTCGGAAGAGTGCCCACATACTGTTGTCCATATAATGTATATTATTTGAGCTTATGAAAACTATGCAGGACCTGTTCAATTCTACAAACTGGTCCTAATCAATGTACTTACAGGTTCCAACCAGATTTAAAGTATTCTAATGGGCCCAATCCAGTTACTTTCAGGAGGACCTCTGCCCCATAAACTAGAACAAAGGAAATAAACATAACACAATTAACAATGTACCTTATATTTTTTCTTTATTCTTTTCACCCTTTCCTATGTCCTACCATTTTCTTACACTTCCCTTCCCCCTCATTTAGACAAACCCCTGATTAACTTCTCTGTCATTACATGACTATTACTGTTCTCCCCCCATCATATCCTATCATTGCTTGTCATTAACCCCTAGTTTGGGCTTGACATAAAAGAATTATGATTTTATCAGATGTACTGTATATATTGTAATTATTTTAAACATCAGCGTATTCCAGCATTTTACCGAAAAATTTAAATTTGCAGGAATGCATTCCCCAGTTGGGTTTATAGTACTATTGCTATACAACAGTTTCACAGTTGTACTCTGTAACAAAACATGCTGAAGACAATCTATCTGAAAACTGTTCAGCACTGGAAATAACCATATAAAACCCACAAGGAGATATGATGATACTTCATGAAGGCACTCTTTTGTTTTTTAAACATCTTTGCTTTCTCATCCACTGAGGAACACAGGAATTCAGATACTGTTGGGTTATAGCAGTGTCTACAGGAACACTGGACGCAAACCAAAAAAAACTGTAAGCTGCTATTCATTATAATCCCTCCTTAACCCAGCATGCCTCCATTTTTTTGCCAGTGTCCTGGGAGATCAGATGTCTTTTTATCAGCTCTTATGAGAAAAGTTCAACTAATTTTTTTTCCCTGTTTTGGTTGTGGGTTTTCTCTTCCATTGACTTTACCTAAAGAGGTGCTACAGTTCTGGAAAAAAAGTCAGCAGCTACAAACACTTACCTGTCCAGGGATCCAGGAGAGTTATCACCTAGGCCGGTTCTTTGCTGGTCTTTGGGTCCCCTGTGCCACCATCTTGCTTTTGTAAAGCCAGGTGTGAAAGCCAGCAGCTTCACAGCCGACTCCCCACTGTGCATGCACAAGTCACACTGTGCTTTGTGAATGGACCTGAGGCCTCCTCAGACATGTGATGTGTCCCAGGAGGTTGCTGGCTGGGGGGGGGGGGGGGGGTACTTTTGTCTGGATTGTTTAGGTAGGAACAGGTACCTGTCAAAACTAGGTACCTGCTCCTTGAAAAACAAATGCAAAAGTGGTAGAGGAGGGGGAGAAGGAAGAAAAGCAGAATTTCCCTTTTTAGGTGAAATTCCGCTTTAAAGTAGAACTATAGACACATCTTTTTTTAATTTTGGATAGAGTAAGAGAGAAATATAGCAAGTCAGATTTTTTTTTTTGTCATCTGTGTCCCATTGCAGAGATTTCCCTTCAAATTTCTGTGCCATAGCCAAACAAGAAGTTAGAGGAAATCCCTGCAAATTAAGGGAATTTCCAGCTCACCCAAACTAGTGTCCCCACTGGAAGATTTCCCCTCTATTACTTTTCAGGGGACAACCCAAAATTTTGGAATTTCTTTACGTTCACTTTCAATGATAATGGTAAACAGGAAGGAGGGTTAATCTCCCTAAAGAAGGGGTTCTAATTAATCTGCACACCACCCAAAACATATCGGCCTTATTTCTGCCTGACTTTGGAGTACCGTACTTGACTGCACACACAGAACTAACCTGGAATGCTACCACTGGGCACTGGGGTCTGCATTGTGGTGCTTTCCAGGATTAGAGTACTGGTAAAAGTTAACCACGGAATGCTTTTCAGGTCCAGAGCATTGGAATAGTCCAAGAGCATGACCCTGCTTCTGAAGAGGCACTTTGTGAGTAAGGTCACTCAGGCAAAAGCCCTGGGAGCTACCTACACAATTGGTTGCCTTTCAAATTTCCTGCCACTGACAGGAGCAAAGATGCGTTAGTTTACTGTCAAAACCCATTTAAACGCAACAGTCTTAAACTCTTCTAAAAACGTTTAAGTGCAGTAAACGCAACAAAATTAACACGTCTAAACTCATTCTAACACGTCTAAATAGATGCATATTTCTGCCAGCAAGAACCTGTGTGCCCTTTCAAAAAAAAAACATGTCTGTGTGATTGAGGCCTTATGGCTGAGGAACTGTGCACTGATGTTATCCACTGGGTTGGGTGTTGAACACGAGCGCACTCTCTCACCATTCAGCATAGAGGAAGCACCACTACACAGCTGCTTCTGCTTGCAAAGCACCACATAGAACTCTGATCTATTCCTACTTACTGCCTGCACTGACTTAGTCACCTCTGTCCATCTGACTCCCATCAGCTGCCTAGGATTGTGAGTACTTGAGGCCTTGTTTCACCTTTCAGGCCTAGTTGCACTATCGCTAAGGGTGTGAAACATATGCATATAGATGCAAAGAGGGTAAATTAACTGCTACAAGTGACCCCATCCCATACTCCTCTAGTGGTGCTGGGGTGTCTATTCTGTATCATCTGAGGGAACTGGTTTCTGCAGTCTGGAACCTTGTGCCCTTGTAGTTCTAGACTATTTCATTAGAGCCTTGCTCTGCTCTGTCAGGTGGGGCCAAGTCCCCTGCCCTGTTGTCTGAAACTTCAATGCCCACTCATGACCTTTTGGCCACAAGCGCTCAATTCTTCGTGCACGCTGACCACAGAGGCTCTAATTACGCTCCAGTGTCACCCCCTGCAGAGTCTGCCTCTGACCCTCCAGAGCCTTCAGATCAGCTGGACCCTGTGATTAACTCTGACTGAAAGTCCCCACAGTCTGTCTCTTCAGAGACTGTTCTTGAAGCACCATCGTCTCCTGCTGTCACTTCAGAAAATCTTATTGACACATCATGTTCTACCCTGCATTTAAAAGGATAGCCTGCCATCTCCAGCCTAAAGTTCTTAAAGCGGCAAAGAGTTTACCTTTACAACCATCATTTTCTGGAAGCACCCTGAAGTATTCTGGCCCTTCCTGAAATTGTGCTATAAATGTACCCTTTGGGAAGGCATTTATTAAATGATGGTTTATTCCCACTGTTGATCCACCAGTGACTCACCTTAACATGAAAACCACTAGACAGGTGGAAGGCATGCTTACCTTTAAAGTTCACCTTTAAGAGAAAAATATTAAATGCACAGAGACATGAATATTGCAGGGAATATATGTGCCAGAGCTCCATATTTAGAGCTGAATGTTATGACTTCCACATTAAGTTTGCTGGGGTTTCGGGAGGACAAAGGTGTGCATAGAAAAACCTCTGGGTGCATGCGATACATTTTTATGCCATATTTACTACCTTTCAGATATGACTTACATTAATTGGATATGTGTACCGTTCCAAGAGTTCAAAGAATGTGTTCAATTTAAAATTAGGTAATAAAGGTTGAGGGCTACCATTTCAGCTCCTCCTTGCTTCATCTCAAATGTCACATATGATCATCTTCCTAGCTCATTGACTTAAAAAGATGCTGCTTAAAATCAATCACCTTTTACCTACAGGCTCAAAACTGAAGGGTAGGGAAAACTTTGGGACTTACTTGTAAGGAATACAATGTAGCTCCATGGAACGCCTTGAGTAAAGAAGTTCCCCCCTAAAAAGATTTCAGTGAAATAAATAATTCAGATATATAAAGGCATACACAAAATAGACAAATATAATTTCTAGTAGAAGGACAATATATTAAAGTTGTTTTTTTTTTTTTTTTTTTTAACTTGACCTACAGGTAAGGATTACCTGCAGGTACTGTAAATGTCTCCTAAACGTGCACAGTTTAGGAGATATTTACTTGTAAAAGACACCGGCTCATGCGCTCTGAAGGAACAGGATGCCCGTGCCGTTCCTTCAGAGCGGAGTGCCATAAGAAAGGGACTCCCGCGCGCAAGCACGGGAGTGACATTATCGAAGCTCAGCCTTTCAAGCTGCTGGAGCCCGCGAACCCGAAAGAAGGACCGGATGAAGACTGAAGCCCTGTCAGCAATGACAGCGCGCCACTGGAGGGCTTAGTTTTTAGGTAAGTTTCACATAATGTGCTAGTTTGCGATGCATACTAGCACATTATGACATTGTCTTGCAGATTTTTTTTTTTATTCTAAAAAAAAAGTTGCAGTTTACTAACGCTTTAATAGGAGTATTTTACTTACAGTGCCTTGAAAGTATTCATACCCCTTGAAATTTTCCATTTTGTCATGTTACAACCAAAAAGATAAATGTATTTTATTGGGATTTTTTGCGATAGAACAACACAAAGTGGCATGATTGTGAAGTGGAAGGAAATTAATAAATGGATTTCAGAATTTTTTACAAATAAATATCTGGAAAGTGTGAAGTGCATTTGTATTCAGCTCCCTTTACTGTGATACCCCTAACTACAATCTAGTGGAACCAACTGCCTTCAGAAGTCACCTAATTAGTAAATAGAGTCCACCTGTGCGAACTTAATCTCAGTATTAATACAGCTGTTCTGTGAAGCCCTCAGTGGTTTGCTAGAGAACATTAGTGAACAAACAGCATCATGAAAGCCAAGGAACACACCAGACCGGTCAAGGATAAAGTTGAGAAAAGTTTAAAGCAGGGTTTGGTTATAAAAAAAAAAAATATCCCAAGCTTTGAATATTTCACGGAGCACTGTTTAGTCCATCATCCAAAAATGGAAGGAATATGGCACAACGGCAAACCTACCAAGACATGACCGTCCACCTAAACTGACAGGCCGCGCAAGGAGAGCATTAATCAAAGAAGTAGCCAAGAGGCCCATGGTAACTCTGGAGGAGCTGCAGATATCCACAGCTCAGGTGGGAGAATCTGTCCACAGGACAACTATTAATCGTGCACTCCACAAATCTGACCTTTATAGAAGAGTGGCAAGAAAAAAGCCATTGTTGAAAGAAAGTCATAAGTCGTCTCATTTGCAGTTTGCAAGAAGCCATGTGGGGGACACAGCAAACATGTGAAAGGTGGTGCTCTGGCAGATGAGACCAAAATGTTACTTTTTGGCCTAAAAGCAAAAGGCTGTGTGTGGTGGAAAACTAACACTGCAGATCACCCTGAACACACCATCCCCCCTGTGAAACATAGTGGTGGCAGCATCATGTTCTGGGGATGCTTTTCTTCAGTAGGGAGAGGGAAGCTGGTCAGAGTTGATGGGAATATGGATGGAGTCAAATACAGGGCAATCTTAGAAGAAAACCTGTTAAGAGTCTGCAAAAGACTTGAGACTGGGGTGGAGGTTCACTTTCCAGCAGGAAAACGACCCTAAATATACAGCCAGAGCTACAATGGAATGGTTTAGATCAAAGCATATTTATGTGTTAGAATGGCCCAGTCAAAGTCCAGACTTAAATCCAATTGAGAATCTGTGGCAAGACATGAAAATTGCTGTTCACAGATGCTCTACATCCAATCTGACAGAGCTTGAGCTATTCTGCAAAGAAGAATGGGCAAAAATTTCACTCTCTAGATGTGCAAAGCTGGTAGAAACATCCCCAAAAAGACTTGCAGCTGTAATTGCAGCAAAAGGTGGCTCTACAAAGTATTGCTTCAGGGGGGGCAGAATACAAATGAATGCCACACTTTAGATATTTGTAAAACAATTTTAAAACCATTTATCATTTTCCTTCCACTTCATAGTTATGTGCCACTTTGTGCTGGTCTATCACATAAAATCCCAATAACAAAATGTGGAAAATTTCAAGGGGTATGAATACTTTTTCAAGGCATTGTAAATGTTGTTTTTTTTTTTTTTTGTTTAAAAAAGTACAGAACATTTCCTTAGCATTCTCAAACCATCTTTGCAATGACACTACAAATATTATGGAGGGATGGATCCAATATATTTATATAACCATTTGCAACATGACATTTGGCTTACTTTTGTTTTATGTGGACCTGAACTGAAAGTGAAAATTCGCCATTGTAAAAAGGAGCATCTAGCAATATACAGCTTATCTAAACCCCAAAACAAAAAATTAATAAATTGTAGTTCACCATTCCTTAGATGTGGTGGGTTTTTTTCCATCATTTTCTCCTGCTGATGCAGCCAATACCACTTCCTTTTCTAGGGTGACAGAGCTCACTCACTGTACTGTGTTTATACAGTTTTTGCCTTCAAAACACCCCCCCTATCTTCTCATCTCCAAACTAAGATTTCAGTTCAGTACACAATAAGTTACAAGGGCACAGGATTTCTATCAGGAACAACATATACTGTATTTTTCTGTACTTGCAGAAAATATACTTAGCTTGAAAGATTAAACTAATACAGATACCGGAATTATGGACTGGCAAAGCTACAATATATTAAAGAGGTAATTTAGCTTAAAACAAATTTACAAGCAGGAAGGCTTTTTACAGCAGAAGGGACATACTATGTCTCTTCTACAATAAAAGCTTCATATGTTCATGTGTGCAAACTGCTCAGTATACATTTTGACATGCCTTTTGAGACGGGATGAAAAACTTCTGTGATGTGAGTGGAGTCATCCGCGGCCACCCATTCAGGATGGCTGAAAATACAGAACCTGGATGATGACCAGGTAAAGATGTCAATGCTGGTGAGGAAGGTAGTGGACATGACTGAAGGGGAGTAAAGGTGACTTTATTTCCACTTTAAATTTTTGTTCTTGGGTTTAGGTAACTTACTTGTGCATAAACAGTACCTTGAATTATTTAATTTTTGTCTCAAATTCCTCCTGCAAAATAGCTGTGTCTACAGCCGCTGCAGGATGAGATCACCTAAAGCACAGCTACTGACTACTAATGAAATTTGGTAATGACATAGCGGTGCTTGCTAGAGAAGAAGCTGTGTTTGAGGACCTGCATCTCCCTGCTTCTACTTCAACTGTGTGGATAGGTGCTTTCCGCTTTCAGCAAAACCAGGCCTTTTAAAATGGCCACCTCCACACAGACACAGTGCAGCACAAGGCATGTTAAGTTAGTAAGAAGGAAGAAATCAGCTACAGGGAGACAACAGGCAATACTGATGACTAGTTTTTTGCATCTTTTTCAATCAAAACTTTCACAAATAAGAGGAACTTCGCCCAGTATTTTGCAAATAAAATCAGCAGCTTTAATTACTGTAGCTGGTTTAAAAAACAGGTACTTACCAGCCCATGGAGTCCAGCGATGTCTTGCCACAGACAATTCTCTGCTGATGGATCCCTGGCTCCGCCATCTTGGATTTGGGAGCCAGTTGTGAGTTCCTGATGAATTACAGCCAGCTCCCCACTGCTCATGCACGAGATGGCGCAGTGCAGGAAGACTGATCCTGCAGCCTCTGGGATGTGCAACATGGCACTTAATGTCATCCTAGCATAGGCAAAGGACTTATGGAAAGCTTGGTGGACATACTATTGGACAGCTAATTATTCTAATAGTAATTGTCAAATGAATATGTGGAACATACCTTTCACCATAAATGTCTCAATCAAAATCCAGAATCCATTTATAGCAACTACAACATCTGAAAAATAAAGGAAAAAAGGATAATGACAGTTTATGAACTGTAACTTTACTAAAGACCACCACTGTACCGACATGCACCTCTTTAATGACTGCCAATCATATCACAAATATGTTTTTTTCTTAGGAATGCAGTATTTGCAGTCATCTACTAAGAAACAGGTGCACTTTTGCTTTTGTTATGTAATGGAAACCAAACTGCAACAAAGACACAGTTACTGATAAACACAGTGCATTTACATCTGAAGTATAGTTAATTTCCTGGCAAGACTCATTGGTAATACTATGAAGAAACATAGGAAAGGTCAAAGTGTTGTACTCACATACAGAATACTGGAATGCTCTTGAATTTGCCAAGATATTAATGCCTGTACAAGAAAAAAACAAGATAGCAACTGGCAACATCTTACATGTCATGCGGCATGAGAACTATTATGTAACAGGGTGATGTAATATATATATTATATAGTTTTATACACTCTACCAAGGATAATGCTATCCACTAAAATGTGACAACACCTGGAAGAAACTCGAGCAAACACGGATCATGCTCCAGTCTGTATTACCCGAGGACTGTTGACTTTCACCAACACAGCCTCCACTGAATAACTCATGATGTATAATGTAAGTGAAAGCATTTCACCTTTAAATATAAGAAGGGCTGTAGGAGGAAGATCATCAAACCAATGTTCACGAATACGCTGTACCTGCCAAGGAAAAAGTTTCAAGCATGAATGGACACTATTGCCAACTTCACTACAAGTAATACAGTAGGTCAATTTTGCTTGGTTGCTGACAAACTGAATCATGTGTTGGCTCTTATACCACTCTTGCCCTCCAGTGGCAAGATATCACCATAAAATTTACTACTCCACCTAAATGTACACTACAAAGTCAAATGATGGTGTCACACTTCCATAGTTAGACTTTCCATGAAACAGAAAGAATATACAACAGGGGAGTGAAGCTTTGTCTGAGCAACCACATTGTGTTGAGTTTTTGTAAGAAAGATACTTCAGAAAAATTTGTCCTTTGGGGTCTCAGAGATTAAAAAAAAAACTAAAGCATGATTCAACACGGCAATGTATAACAAAACAAATATACAAGGTGTATCTAAACCAGGGGTGGGCAAACTTTTTGACTTGAGGGCCGCAATGGGTTCATATATTGGACCCGGGGGCCGGACCAAGAGTAGATGAATGATGTGTATGTGTCATCCATAGTAAGTATAGTAATATTCCCCCATAGTAAGCATAGTAATTTAATCCCCCATATAGTAATTCATCCCCCATAGTAATTCATCCCCCATAGTAATTCATCCCCCATATAGTAATTCATCCCCCATAGTAATTCATCCCCCATATAGTAATTCATCCCCCATAGTAATTCATCCCCCATATAGTAATTCATCCCCCATAGTAATTAATCCCCCATATAGTAATTCATCCCCCATAGTAATTCATCCCCCCTATAGTAATTCATTCCCCATATTAATTCATCCCTCATATAGTATTTCATCCCCCATAGTACTATTCCCCCCCAAGTAGTAAGCCAAGTCCCCCCTGTGTCAATTCACTTACCTTTGCTCCGCGCGTTCCTCTCGCCGTGTTCCCGCGCCGTTCCGGTCTTCAGGGCGGACTGTGAGAGGAGCCTAGCTCCCCTCACGTTCGTCACGCTGCCCCGCCTACACACATCCTGACAGCCATCCTGACAGTATCACACTCCACGGGCCGGATTAAAAGGTCCGCCGGGCCGTAGTTTGCCCATTGCTGATCTAAACTGTAAAGGGTAAATCTGTCCTATGTGATATTACATACCTTCCACTTCAGGCCTACAACTTCATAGAAATGGTAAAAGTCTTTCAATCTGCAAGACAAAAGCTCCATGAATCTAATCTAAGTACAGTAATACAAATCAGGCTATGAAAGTGTTTGGGTTTGGATAGAGTAGGGAAGGGTTAGAACTTCTGTTGAGATTTTAGTCATTATCCATGCCCCCTGTGGGGAGATTCATCCTCTCCATTCATTCTGGTAACTACTGTCAAGGAGACTGAAGTTAGGGGAATATTAAGCATTGAGCTGTCACTGGAACAAGAATAAAAAGGGAAAATTTTCCAATGGGAACACTTTTTTCAACAACAACCGTCTGTGCTTTCGGGAAATATCCTCTCACTTCCTGCTGTGTTTACAGGACACGATAATAAATAGAAATATCCCTGATTTGACAAAGAGTGTAATAAAGTGAATGAAATATGAGTCATTCATCTAAAATTTTAAGGAATGTTCGCTGTCATCATTTGCCAAACATTTGCTTGTTCTCAGAATATTTGTCATCATCTCCATTTTGGAATTGCTGCTTTCAAAACACTTTCCATATGTTAAAAAACTGATCTCTCATATGCTTTTCTGTTCTGACAAATTCATGTTTTTTTTTTTTCCATTATTCCCAATAATGACCCATGGTGCCCAAATCTGATCCACATTCATCCATTTCCTTCATCCACTGGGAAGATTTATAACTTCAGCAAATGAAGGTAATTCACATCAGGAAATATGCCAGCATTTGCCCAGTTTTTAGAAATATGCCCCTAAAATGCACATTTACTCCTTTGGTGAGCCAAACTGCGTTCTCTTTACAAAACTTAAGTAAAGTTACCGGAGATGGTCTGCGCTGCTCTGTTTCAAGGCTCTGAAGCAAAGGTATCGATCGCGAGTCGACATCCGAGGCTTGTAGTACCTCATCATGCCATCAAAATGACGGAATGAGATTCCTGGGGGGGCCTACAATAACATGTATTGCTGTAAATGAAGTGTGAACACTAAAAGCATAACAGAGATTAAAGCAGGTTAGTATTTAAATTCCTTTCAAGGTTAAAGAGCTTTTTGGACATCACTCTAGATGTGATTTTCAAGGAAATGCGTCCATAATTTAACCTTGTTGTTTCAGCCTAACAAGGCAGATTTAAAAATTGCTCTCTGTGACCTCAGAAATAGGCGGGCTGTTTTTTGGACTCCAAAATGCTGATAGCACTCCTATAAACACTAAAATGGAGAAGACAGCATTAGGAGACTAATGCCTGCCCAAATTGGTGGTTACAGATGTGCTTGTTTTCTGGTAAACGGCCAGGGAACTACTTCTTGAAAAAATACAAATTTTTACATACCTGTAAATTCCATATTTTGGAGTACAGTACCCAACACAGAAGTTGATTCTTAGATAATAGGTTATATGCTGCTACCTTGAGGTGATTAGACATTTGAAAATGTTTTGCTGGGAACTGCACCCCCTCCCCCCCCCCCCCCCAGTGTACCCATATAACCCCCAATCACTCTGTGAGGCTCCAATTTTTTAGCAAGGAGTAAATGGATCACAGAGGAAGAGGGAAGGGCTTTGTGTCCTGTACTCCAAGATTTGGAATTTACAGGTACACCAAAACTCCTATTATTTTAATCATACAATAAATGTATAGAGGTGTTGATTCTTAGACCACAAGACAGCCCCACGCAATAAGTTGAAGACTGAGCACCAAACAACCAACATTTCAGCAACAGGCACACAGGATGAACAAGACATGACAACGGACCAGGACAGACAGGCTACACTTTGCCCCTATAAAGAGAAGAAAAAGAGGGTGCTCCCAAAGAACAGGGGGGAGCCACAGAAGAACTATGGCGGTTAGGGTTAACTGAAAGTAAAAAGTTCTATTCTTACATAGGTCCTTAAAAGATAGTAACCTTTTTGAGCATAGGGAGGGTACCTCAGAACCTGAGGAAGGCCCCAGAGGAGGAAAGAAAGTGGCAACATTGACAAAGAAGAGCAAAAAGGGAGTGTACAAACAGTGTGAAGCCAAGGTGTTAAGAAAAGGACCTACAAGGGCTAACCAACACCTGCTGTGTACCAAGAGCAAGATGTTTTGTGAGTCCAAACAGAAGAAGTTGTAGGTTAGGAATGAGGGAAGTGATATGCATGCCTCAGAGAAGGAGAGGAGCCCAACCTAAAGGTTGAAGTTTGCCCAACTGGTGAAAATACTGGAATTAAAGATGCCTGGAGATCTCTGGCAGGGCTGTCTTAATGCATGGGCCAACCTTGGCCTTTCCCAAGGGCCCCAGGTGCATGGGGGCCCCTAGAGTCCCCCCCACCGCAGCTTCCAGCTCTACTCCTGCACTTTGAGGGGGTTAAGGAAGAACCCCCAAGGTGGAGCATTTTACTCCTGCTGCTAAACACCAAACATCACAGCGCTAATCATCTACAGCCAAAGAAGTCATGTGAGCAACTGTATTGATCAGGTGACTTGTTTCTATGGCTACCAGTCGTCATGACACTTTTCAATGTAATGTGAGTAGTAAATCCTCCACCCTGAGTCCAGTGGATGGAGTAAAGCGGATCCTAAGTGGTTGGTGACCAGGGATGATGTACTCTGCGGGACGACTCCGGGAGGATGGCAGACTGGAAGAGAGGATCAGGTTTCTACAGCGCAGTCTGAGGGACTGGTGAGTATTTGGCAGGGCCAAGGGACTGGGAGACTTGATCTGACTAACTGCAGAAAAGCTCTGAACTACATGGGACTGTGTAGCCATAGACTTTATAAGGGTGCTGGGTCCAGGACCGGTCACAAGGCATGCTGGGATCTCGGATTCTTCTACAGTTGGAGGATGGTGACAAGCGATGCTGGGATCGCCCCCCCTTACCTCTACTGTGCCCATCCTGCCTTCCCCTGTACCGTACCATGCCCTCCAGCACCCCCTGTACTGAAAGACATATACAATATATACAGAACACAGATTGGGAAAGGTATGTTTTACAGTGGGACAATGTGTATAGGGAGGGGGATAGTGAAAAAAAAAAAAAAAAAGCAATCTGTACAGGGGGAAAGAAGGACAGAGCATAAAGGGGTTAGTGCATACAGGGGACAGCGTTTAGGGAGGGTGGGACAGTATTTACAGGGGATGAATTTAATAGGGAATAATTCCCTTGTTGTGTTTATTTGTTGTTTCAAATCAAACTAAAATGCCACGCTCAATATGTAGCATAATGTAGCCATACCCAGTCTTGGCTGCAGTGCATGTAGCACAACCCAGGTCCCCATCTCCCTTGTAAGGGACCCAGTGCATTACTTTGAAAGAGGCCCATGATGCTATTAAGATGGCACTGATCACTGGTCGAAAAGTCTGCAAAACAGTCACAAAACTGAAGATGTTTGGTGAGATGGGCAGTGCTGGGGTACCAACAGACCTCATGAGGAAACAAACACATAAGGGGGAACTGAGAACATGTCCATGTAATGAAGCTAGTTTCTGCACATAGTGAGGAATATAGTTTCAGTGACCTTGAATGGAGAAAACAGGCACTGGCTGTCCTGAAGGACTGAATGATGGACTGACAGAGTGAAATAAAAGTCAGAGACATCTTTGCTGTATGGTGGAGTAGACGTCCGCCCCCCCCTTCCTTTTTTCAAGGAGTGGGAGAGAACCTTAAATGCGAAGATGGCTTTTAGCAGGTCCAGCAGGCTTAGTGGTAAAGAGTCTTTCACAAAGTGAAGGACCTGAAAAAGACGATGACTGTCTGAGGGGCATACAGATCATATCCAGATGGTACAGGAGGCCCATTACATAAGAAACGTGATTGAGGACAGTAAAGTAGCAGCTCCCTTCCCTGAACTTTGAAGAGAAGTGCACTAGGCAGTTCAGTTTGCAATATCTGTAGGTAACCAGAAGGTGGAAAGGCAGAGGGTGGTAGTACCAGCCAATTTCAGAAGTGGCAATCGCTTTTGGAATAAATCATAGTGGCAAGGAATTTTTCAGACAGGCCACATGTTGCACGTCTCTGAAGGAGCCCGAGTTAGGGGGCTGGAGCTGTGTCAGTGTAAGGCCTTCGGAATAAAGGAACTACTAGTAACTTGAGAAATACTTGAACTTTTCTCAGAGCCTGCAGTGGAATATCAACTATTTGTCCCATGTGCTCCTGTAATTCACAATTGCTAGGTGAGGATCTTCCCCTGCGGGTACTCACAGAATGGATACAGAATTTGGGGATTCAGCAAGTCTGGTATGAAGGAATTGCAATAACCCAAGCACTAACCAAGTTCCTGTGAAACTATCAGCTTGCGTCATTGGCAGAAATGGTGTCCAGAGATGTGTAGTCAAGAATCAAATGAGCACTAGGTCACTAGCCAGGAAAGAATGTCTTGGTAGTGAGGTGGAAAAAAGAGACCACTAATTTTAAATAGGTAAATGTTACAACAAAGTTACCTATCAGGCCAAGTAGGTAAGACAATGAAAGTCAGGGTAAAAAACTCAAGTGAAAATTACCCCATAACTTGTGCCTTCAAAATCGCTTGTGTGCTTAGCACTGCAGTATTTCTTGTAGTATAAAAGAATATAGAGTAGTATCCTCTACATATCCAACAAGATATGTGTAGAGAGGAACCAATAAGTAAAAGATACAATGAAACTCCATTTTACCTTGTCCACGTTGCTGGTCACAACCAGGGTCCACGTCACAGTGGGCATACACTTGAAGGGGACTTCAGGTTCTGGGTACCATAGAATGGATCATGGCCCTGGACACATATAGCACAGTGGAGCTAACACTAGTTGCCCCATGTCACAAGGCAACTAATGAGCACAGGATCCAGAGCATGAAGAAAATAATACAGGCCAGCCCTGCTTTTGCAGGGTCCGGGTCCGGTTCCCAAGATGCACAAATAGGGTAGCCAATCCATAAGGCAATAAGTCAGATCTTGATAAGAGTGTCACTCAAAGAAGGAATAAAAATGGTGAAAAACAGAAAACAATCTTCTCCAACATCTAAGAACACTAGAAATAACTGGAGCCCCACAGAGTACGCAGGGTTATACGGGTACACTGAGGATAGTTCCAAGAAAAGCTTTTGCCAGTGTCCAATCACCTGAAGGTCACGGCATATAACTCATGGTCTAAGAATCAACTCCTGTGTCCTGTACTGCATAAAATATAGATACTGTTCTCCATGTACAGCTTATAGACACAAAAAATTGGAAAAGGAAATTCAAATGAAGAAAAGCCTGCCATACACGCTTATCTCCATATGTGTTATGTGTGCTTCTGTTGCTTACGTTCATAATGGAAAAAAGAAGATCTCTGGACGCAGTTTCAAAGTCTATCAGTGAATATTAAAGACCATACTGTTGGCTGCTTGCTTTTGACTATAAAGCCAAAGAAGTCTCTGGTGAAGTTTAATGGAAAGAAGTGGGAGTAGCAAAATCAACTTTAGACTCCCTGTTCTTTTACTCATTATCCTGCACTAAACAGTAGAAATGGAGATATGTCTGTGCTCAGATCCTATGAATACATGTTCAAGCCAAATGTATCAAAGTGATCCTTCTCTGGCTAGTCACTACTTTTCCTTGCAGATTGCCAAATTCTTACATACTAAATAGCATATATCTATCTAAAAACACACACTCATGTGCATCTTATTAGATATTAGCTAGATAATGTAGTTAAGAATTAATGTGTATAAACAATTTAGTCTATGTTGACACTAGTGCTGCTACACAAGCATGCTTGTATTGTGATTTTACAAGCGTTTTTGATGCAGTTTCATTTTTCATGCTTTTTCTGTAGCAGGAGACTGGCTGTTAAACACAAAACACATCAAGAGATGCATAAATGTGTATTTTTCTTGCACTTTTCATGTGCTCCCATTGAAGTCTATGGGGCCAAAAATGAACTGTGCTGCAGGAAACAAAGTACCTGCATCTTTTCAAAAATGCACGAAACATTTTAACCTATGTTCACACTAGTGCTGCTGCACAATTATGCATTTTGCAGTGCATTTTTGTATTGTATTTACATCCTTGAATTCTCTGACGCATATTCACTATGCCTTGGTACTATGCATTGCTATGTTACAAATTTTTCTGAGCCTGGCATTTAAATTGCAAGAAGTGCTGGGAGGAAAGGTTTCAGGAGGCACCGTCAGTACAGGAATCACTGCTTGCAGGAAAAAATGTACATTGGGATATGTAATCCTTAGAAAATCCAAAGTAAAACAAAGGAATGAGCAGAAGAGAAGCTACAAAGCATGCAGAGAGTCCAGAAAGTTGTTGGGATAAAAAGACAGCAGATAGCCAGTAATCACATCATAATAAAAGGGCATCCAGTAAGCATACATTAGATTGTCAAAAAGAAAAAAAAGATTGTCAAAGAAAAAAGGCTCATCTTTTATACTGCAAAATACATTTCCTGAACATACTATGTTAAAAGGGTATTTTTGCAATCTCACATTTTTAGGGCCCATTCAGACCTACGCACACAGTGCAGCACGCAGGGTAACACACACTTGTAGATGTGAATGAGCCTAGCAGGGTTTCTCAAACAGGGTTCCGCGAGAGGACCCCAGGAGTTCTATTGCGATCTACCCATCAGTCATAGGTAGCGGATAGGTAGATTGCACCCCTCCTGCTGACACATGCTGAGCTAGGCAGGGAAGGGGATTTGATAGTGCTAGCTGTAACAAGCTGTTCCCAGCCGGCCCCTCCTGTCCATCCCAGGTGCTTGTATGTGACATCACCTGGAATGGACAGGAGAGGAGGAGGGGTCTCGGTGGGGAACAGCACTCCACAACAAGACTGATCACAGCAGCTTCCCTGCCATGCTTTGTAATGCACTGTAATGTGCCATGCTGTGAACCCCATAATGTGCTCTGCCGTGTGCCCCACATAATGTGCCCTGTTCCCGGGTAATGTGCCCTGCTTCACCCATTACAGTGCCCTTCTGTCCCCATGTATCCGCCCTGTACACAGTTTATCTCATCGGGGAGGAATCTGCAACCTGGACAGAGGAGGATTTTCAGAAGAAGTAACAGCACAAGGGACACATCCTACTGGCTGTAAGTTATGTCCCTTGTATTGATTTTTGTGCTTTTTATTTTGGCTTCACTTGGGCTTGAAGTGTCACTCCTTCCTATTAGTTTTCAAATAAATGCATTCCATTCATTTTTAATAAATCAGCTAACTAATTTTATAATAACTGCTTAGAGTTCTTTATACCTGTGGGTTGACCAGCAGCTGGTAACTGTGCTGAGTGGCTGTGCGCTTGTGCAAAAGCAGAGACTTGAACTTCTTTTTCTCTATGTCATTGAATGTATCAAACACAACTGCCAATAGCTGAGGAATATAAAATTAAAATGTGAATCAAAACACGGTTACCTTATAACTTCCAAACTTATTAAAAAAAAGAAGAAAGCAATCAACCCCGTTACTATCCCACATAGTTTAGCAGTATCCATTTTACAGTAAAAAAAAAAAAAAAAAAAAAAAAAAAGACAAGTCACTGCAAGACATCATGACATAGTTAGGTATACACTAGAACCTGCAGTGAGACAAAAAAAAGTCTTATTACCTCAAACAAAAGCATACGTGTTTAACAAAAGGAAACATTTAAATAAATCTCTAGCCATTAATAAAATTCTTATTGACGTTTTCCTGTTGTATTATGCGGAACCCTTGTCCTTCCAGAGTTTTCAGAAGGGCCTCCACCTGCTCTATCTTCCAGATTCTGTCTCCTCGGCTGCTTGACTGGCCAGGCCTCGACAACACCACTCCCACATCACCACACAACAGACCAAGTGCCATGGATGTGGTAAGAGCGCCTCAGATCACATTACCATTGACAGAAAGCGGGAGGCATTTATGACAGAACAGACCACAGATGGTCTCTTATAAAAACCTTGCCTGTCAGCGGTTTTCCAATAAGTTACTTCAATACTTTAAAGGTAAAAGTATAACAATTTTCTATCAATTTTAAATATTTTAAAAAGGGAAGTCATGCAACAAGGACATAATGTGAATGAAATAGTATAACAAAGGTCCAAACTCACCAAATTCATGATGAAATACAGTTCAATTGATAAGTAAACAATAAAAAAGATGCAGGACCACCGGTTGCGCGAATAGGCTGGCATCATGACATCTGGAAAACTATGATTAAAAAAAAAAAAAAAAAAAAAAAAAAAAAGGTGTATTAATATCATTGTGAGTATGGAATCATAACAGAAAGAAGGTAAAAGATGCTTACTTGGCAGTAGTCAGAAGAACGAATAAGCTGACCAGACTATTTTCCAGCGTGCTGAAATACTGGAAGACAAAAAGGAAATGAATGAGCTCTTCCCACACAAAAGAACAGGTGATGACAATAAAACAGTTCTTAACATATTCGAAACATAAGAAATGCAAATCTACTAAATGAGGTTTTAAATAAACCAATGTGAGTTAAAATAATTTACTTCATACACCACTTAGTAATTTATCAGGATGCTTTTTGGTCATCATTTCTAAAAATATTTTAGAAGTCAACACCAATTTCAACACTGATGCAGAAACACAATCTCGCAGACCTACAATAGGTTATCTTCAGATTTTCCACATGTAGTATGCTACATTTCTTTTTGAGCTCATCAGTGCAACCTAGGTAATAGGGATGAAACTTATAGATTCATCAACCTTGTGAGGGTTTAAAAAACAAAAAAAAGGAATGATGTAGCAGTCACATTTACCATTCAGCTGCTTGGATTTGTCTAGCTGTTACCTTTCTATATAAAAAAATCTGTTAATTTGTTTATTGTCCAAACAAGAGCTGCCACTACTCTTTGGTAGAAATGAGCACAGGCATCCCCCGAACAAATCCCTATCCAAACAATCAAATCACGCTTTTCTTAATACAATTAGCTGCGGCTTGGGTCATTCCCTGTCCTGCAGCACACGTACACAAAGGGGCAGGATACTGATGTCATTGCCCTTATAGGAACACATTTACATACTTAGTCCTTGGCTAAATGTGGGTGGTGAAATTAGCAGTGAAACTATACACAGTTAGCAGTAATAGTGTACTGTTTCACCACTAATTCGTTTCATGTATCAGTACATTATTAAAGCTGCAGTTTAGGTATGGACATTTTTGCACATACCAATGTAAGTATGCACGTTTCTGGTGATCTTCGTGAAGCTAGAAATCACTATGCACCACTACTACAGTGAATTCCACTAGCTTCCAGGTCCCATACCCAGCAGCTATCCTGCTGCTCAGTAAGCACGTGAGGTTGATTGCTTGACATGGGTATCACTCAAAGTACACTTCGCATTTTCTCAATGAATTCACAGTGCTCTCTGAATGTCGCCTGTGCCAAACAAATGAACGATCCTCTGTGTTCACTAAGCAGCAGGGTCAAGGGATCTGGAAGCTAGTGGAGGTCACTGTACCACTACAGTGATTTCCAGCTTCCATGGGGATAGCTAAGTATGGCCCATGCATACTTACCTTGATTAAAGGTTGGTACTATGTAACTATGCAAAAAGCTGGTGCTGGAGGACAAAAGCAAAAGACAGAGGGTGAGGAGTGTGGACTCCAGTGCTTGTGTGCAGACCATTCACTGGACCCTATGCTATGTTCCTGCTTGTGGTCCCCTCCCAATGTTTCCAGCAAACATCTTATGGACATGCCCTCTGTGCATGGATTTTTATTGTGAGTGCAAAACTTTTTAAGCTTCTTAATAATTGAAATTTAATGCCCTAATATATGCTCTTTTGTATATGTTTTTTTTAGCATCCAGAAGCATTCCTGTTTCCATAACAGCTGCAAGATATTTCAGCAATATTTCAGCAAGGTTTATATTACAGACTGAGTTTACTACTCTCCTGTTGCTTATACTGTGTATCACATTTGTTGCTTTATGTAATTTGTTAAAATAGTGATACAACTTACAAAAAACATTGTGGTTAACAGTAGCCACATTACTTCCCTGTGTTTTGTACTAACCAATACAAGCTGTTTTTTTTTCAAGGCTTTTCTTGTGATTAAACAGTGGAACTGATCAAATTCTTTAAATAAAGGCCACATTTTATTGCTTGCACAGTTCTTAGTCAACGTAATTAATAATAACTAATAATAATAACTGAAGCACACTACACACATTACGATCTGACAATCTTCTTTAGATCAAGCAACAAATATGTAGTGCAACAGCCTGCCAGATTGGATACCAAAGGATTGGATACATACATACATAGTTTTTGGTAAATCTATAGGAGATTGCACCAAGATTATATAATCAGATTCTAATGTGGTCAGCTCAAGTTAAACCCTTCATTATATACAACATAGACCACTAGACTTCCAGGTACTGTGACATAAAATCCCAGGGTCAGAACGTATGCAGCGTTGCTAAATACAATAAAGGTTGCTTTACTGAAGGAAAAAAAAAAATAGGTTCTTCACTTTGCAAGGGAACTTTCCCCAAACCTTAGTAAAGGAGGTGAAGAACTGATGATTGGGTATTCTCTGCAAAGTAAACTTTCACCACATTCACTAAGCTCTGGGGCAAAATTACCTTACAAAGTGAACAGCTTATTTGCCTTTATAATCAACCCCAATGAAGCAACCTAAAACCAATCTGTTAAAAAGGAAACAAAGATAAAGCATTGTAAAACTGCACAATTAACACAATGGTATAGCCCTGGCACTAGCAATAATTGCCAATACTCTAGAAAGGATGCTGAGCACATAAATACAATATTATGAAAAACAATCAAATTTAAATAAAACAAAATATTGCAAATAAAAAAAAAACTACAACATATAATAGGTAGAATACATTTGCAGAAAATACAAATAACCAACAGCTAACGGCGTATCTGAACCCAAAAAACAAACAACGAACAACACATTTCCTGTCATTTTGGGTCTATGCTTTGTCATTTCAATTATAAAGGCAATGGGGAGATAACAAGTTGACAGAAGGAAAACTACATTTCACAGAAACTGACTAGAACACTGCATTTCTGGCAAGAGCAACAGGTATTTTCTGTGCTAGCTGAAAATGTTTTTAGCCTGATAAAGAAAACAAATACAGATATGACATCTAAGGATTGGTAAGCTACTTTTAGTGGCTTGAGAAAATAAGTCAACTGTGTCTGCATTGGCAACTGAAAAAGGTAGAGCCAGTCCAATAAAACTGACAACAAATAAACGTATACCCTCCCACACTGATTCACACCAGCAGCCACATTGATTGCGGCTGCTGGTGTGTGCTGGAAGGACATATTGGCGAAGCGCCGATCCCAGATACACTGCACAGTTTACTTTTCTCTTTTTTGTTAGAACTTTATTGAAATGTTACAAGTAGAATTTCATTAGCTTTGTTCACACAGGGGTGTTGGAATGCAGTGGTTTCCGCTGCAACTTGCTGAACTGAAAAAAAGTACTGCATGCAGTACTTTCCTGCAATGCAGTGGTGTGAACTGACACCATAGGAAATTGACTTGTCTTTGGTTTGGGACTGTGCTGGACAGGGCAAATGGTGTGAATGGGCCTTGGGCTACTACTCTGTAACCAGATATGCTGACTCTCCTTCAGCTTTGTATTCATGCTAAAAGAGAGCAAATCTCAATTTCAGTTCTAAATCATAAAGGCTCTATGCACATTTATGCAGACCACTGTGGACCCCAGCAGTGCAGAAAATGCACCTGCGCTATTTTTCCAGAAGCAGTCTTTACTGTGCATTGAAGCACAGATGCGTCAAAGTTGCATTCCTACAATGCTTTGGGGTGTCATTCAAAACAAACGGAACCGCAACGCAGTATGATTTAAATTGCATATTACCACACATTTTTTTCCAGCGCATAGGTGTGATGCCAGCCTCATCCTTAAAGATAAAAACAAATCTTGGTGACAGCATGATAGGAGTCCCACATGAAAAATGTGTATAATGTGTGCACAGATTTTATTTAGAACTGTAATCATTGGTCACCTAATATATACAAAAAAAGATTTTAATATTAAAATGGTAGAACAGGCAATTGTCAATTATCTGACTGGAAACAAATTAACCTGTTAAAGTTATAAATGCGTTTTTAACTGATCGTAGGAAAAATTTTGGAAAAGATTATAACTTACTGGATCAGAAGAATTTGGAGAAAACAGGTAAAATCCTATAAAAGCCAACACAGAATAAAAAGGTATTGATACATATATCAATGTCATCAATAAGGAATAACAGTGGTTAACTACTTTAGTCCCCAGCCCTTCTTTTAACCTAAACATACTTGTGTTTTAGGAGCATTTTTTTTTTTTGGCCCATTTCAGCAAGGTCTTGATTTCATGCACTATACCTTTTAGTTTTTGTAGTCTACCCTAATGTATCATACATAGTTTTCCTATGGACAGTTGGTCTTGGATTCAGAAGCAAAATTTATATACATATATTTTAATTTTCATTGGGAATAAATAGTTAAAAAAAAAAAAAAAAAAAAAAAAAACGCATTTTCGCAACGTAAAATTTACATAATTTGTGTACCTCAAGTATTTACCATAATAATCAGCAAAGTCTGAAGATTCAAAGGATATCACATTTGCGTGATTTTTATGTCATGAAGCAGAATAGTAAAGCTCAAAGTACACATATGCATTTTATATATACATACTGTTGATAGTGAAATCAAGTGATTTTCTTTCCTGCAACCAATGGTTGCAAGAAAGAAAATTGCATCATATATGGCCTGCCTTAGGGTGTACGCTGTGGTTCATGTAGATACATTTTGCACTAGGCACATTATTTTCAAGGACACCATTTTGGAAGACAAGGAATTGTTTCAGAGTGGATTCTTTTTCATCATATGCACAGTTTTATATATCCTTATATTTGGATATAGCCAATTATGATTCTTACAATTCCACTTGTGATCATGGTTCAGACACTTAACACATAGTTTATTAAGTTTGTGAACACTAGGATCACTGGGCTATACACTTACAGCTTTTATTAATTATCTTCACTGATAATAGGTGATCAGCTTGGTTTAACACTTAAGCTGACAATACATTATACTTCTTTCAATTTACCTTCAACTATATAGGGCAAGGGCCTGCCTGACTGCATATAAATTGAAAGTGTTTAGGTTTGACCTCTGTGACATGGTGTAGTTAGCTCTCTTGGTAGATGCATTTATACAGTGAGTCCTCGGCAGACAGGAACTATTTTTAAGAGCCTGGAAGCCCACTTTTAAAGTGGCAGAAAGCAAAACAGTCCAACATAAAGTTTCCCACACAGGGGTTTCAGTTGCACACAGCAAAAACGGGTTACATAATACTAAGCCACCTATCTCTCTTCAGCAGTAGCTTTGCTTTTGACACCAATCACCCAGACCACTTTAACCACTTGCCTACCAGGCACTTAGGGTGCTGCCGCCCACTTTGATTTGACAATTGCGCGGTCAGGTTCTTTCATGCACAAAGCTTAAAGAACTTCAGAGCACACAGCTCTGCTAGTGTGCTACTACCGTGTCCATCCTGGGCCCCTCCTTTTGATAAGGTCTAGCAGGGGAGGCAGTATATGCGCCATTTACTAACAACTGCTCAGTCGCACCAGCAGAAATTTCCCTCATTACTGCATCAGGTGGAGAGACCACCGAGATCTCTACCAGCTCTTCCGAGTGCCTTCCATACAAACCAGTCACTGGTAGTACCCTCATGAAGAACTGTGAGATCACTTCCCACACTGCAAATACACATTGTACCAACCTGCTCCACTCATGATCACGGTTACCAAGCAAGGCTTGTACTACCTGGCTCCACCCATGGGTACTACACAGTACCACCTTGTCTGTCTGTGGTACAGTAACCCAAGTTCAAGTAGTTCCACTAATATACTTGTCATTTTAATGCACTTCACATCTTCATGCAAGACCTTTGAGGTCAGCTTGAGACATTAAAAGAGGCCTTCACCTCTCTGGAGGTAACTGACACCCCAGCTTCATGCTCCACCCAGAGCACTGCCAGATGCTTGTCATACTCATTATATCACTTTTAGCAACAGTGAGCCATTCCAGGTCATTACCAATTACACTCAACGTTACTTATCTGACACTCAACATTAGTGGCTCTGCAGACCCCCCATTTGACAAAGCAGCTGTCATGTTCACCCCACTGTCACACATGGAAGTTTCCCTAAACCACACTAATAACTTTATGGCCAAACTATCCTAGTCTATCCAGTCTGTGCTCCAGTCATCAGGACGCCACAACATCGTTCCATCTGCCCAAGGAGACACAGGAAGACAGAGTGGCCTGGCAGCAGACATCTTGCACAAGTCACTTTTAACAACATCAGACTCTGATAACATGTTCTACCATTTGAGCGGATTTCCCCTGCAATTCCACCAGAACAAAATCAGAGCTGTCCTGGCCAGCTGCCTGCTCCAACACAGGGAGTCCACGTGAGACTTCCAGGGACAACTCTGTGGCACTGCCTGTGGTTGCCATGGGAGACAAATCAAATCAACATTGTCAGTAATACATTTCCCAACATCATTATTAGCAGCATTATCATTCCTGACTTTTACAGGCTGTCTTAAGACCATCATCAGCTTGATCCTATGGGACATTTAGTGCACCATTTTTCACCCTATAAGAAACACACTCGCCCATCAGGGTGGCAACAGTTGTGCTGCGAAACCTCAAGCTCAGACACCATGAGCTCCTGGGAGGTCCCCAACTACACCTCTGTTTCACTTGTCATGATTACCAGGGGCAATGGCACGTACACCTAAGTGGTCACCTGGATATAGCTGGTTGCAATACTACATTTTCACCACCATGTACTGGCGGTGCTACATTAACCTCATAAAACTCTGCTATTTTAGCCTTAGCTGGCTTCATCAACCCATTATTTACCTCATCATTTTCAAACTCATTAGTAAGCAATACATCATCAAATTTAGTTTTACTACTTGTCTCCCTGCTACCCATAACACTGCATGAAGACAAGTCCTTATCAGTCCTCAGTCTCTGAGCAAGACTTTTTTCAAACAAGCAGTGAATTTCCCAGCCGGACTTACTCTTACTTCACTGGGATTAGACTCACACTCAGTCTGATATTTTTATCAGCAACAGTCTTACCTTTCACCTTGGCAAGTGCTGCAATCTTCAATTGAGAGTGTTGACCCTCCTCTATAACACTTCCACAGGCTAATGCCCCCACATGGTCGCAGGGCAACATTGCTGCCTTCTTGAACTCTTTCAACACCTCTTGTAGGCAAAAATTATTTCCTGTTGCCAGGGGTAACAGCAGACTTGCAGGATGCTGGATACTGTACCCTCTTCTCTGGGCTGATCACCTAAGCAGCCATAACATGAAACCACTGGTTTCCCATGCTCTCTGCCACCCCCTGAAGACTGAACAAAATTTTCTCGATAGGTGCAGGGACGACAACAGTCACATTTGCACAGACATTAGGGCAGAGAATCCTTGACTGCTTCTCTGGATTACTTGGTGCAGCATCCCGAGATCCAGGACACTCAGCAACAGCATGCCTCCAATCCTTGTCAGAGCTCTCCATGTGGTAATTTCTTTCACCAGAACCTTGCCGACATTTCCATTCCTGCTTAAATTTCTTCTCCATGCAAAATCTGTGCCTTGTACTTGTCACAGTCGTCCCGTTCTCAGCCAATTAGCTTGTAAGTCACGCAGAACTCCACCAGCAGCATAGGTTGCAACAGCTCTGACCAGAAGTTCCTAGGCCAGATCAGCCATGCAGCAACTCTCTTAACTTAGCATGAAAGTTCTCAATGTCCTCCATAGGCTACATGGGCTGTATGAAGTCAGCTACTCCAATCTCATCACTGTTGCTAGGTAACAGCAGGCGAACTCTTGTTTAATCATGTATGGGGCTTGTCCTGGTGGTAACAACCCCTTCACTCACTGAATTCTGTCTCCCATCTCAGCAAAGCATGCTTCCTTCTTGTGCTTTAACCACCCCATCCTTGCAGTTATGCACACAGCAATTTGTAACACAGTTCATCGCAGAACCTTTTCTTTTACAGGTATACCACCTGCAATGCGCAATGCCTATTGCCTGGCTGCACTTCCACAAGCAACCAACAGTTCCTGACATGAATTCACCATTGGAGCGAAGACCTGGATTCCACCATCAGTTTGCACACATCAATCTCCATCAACTGTGACTTGGGGTAGTAAGCCCCAGTGGTAGATGTGTTTATACAGCGAGTCCACAGCACACAGCTTAACCATTAGCCGCCCGGCCTATAGCAGTTTGGCGGCCGCAAAAATGCATTAGCTTTCCGGGGTGTATGCCATTTGGCGTCCTCCCGCACAATGCGCAGTTCGCGCGGTTGCAGAGCCGCACAGCGGCGCGATCTATCACCGGCCGTTTACCACGGACATGGCCGATGATAGATCTGAGTACCGGCCCCTGTTGCCGATACCATGTGACCTGCTGTGACCAATCACAGCAGGTCACATGACAGTTGTATACAATGGATGGCTTCATTCATGCCATCCATTGTATACTAGTGTCTAGCTGTGAATGGTCACAGCAGGTCACATGCACATGTCATGTGATTAGCTGTGGCCAAATCACAGCTAAGCACAAATAAAAAAAAAACAAACAAAAAACCTGAATGAATCGATGTCATTCAGGTAAATGCTTGCTTGTCCCTGTTCACCGCCATGCCAGTTATATGATGATGCTGTACTGCACTGGTGACAGTATGTAAAAAAAAAAAAAAATAGTAAAAATAATTTTTTTAATTTTTTTCATTTTCCGAAAAATTATGACAAAAAAAATACAACTTCAAAAAACTCACCATGCCTCTTATGAAGTATGTCAGACTGTCTACTTTACAAAAAGGGGTCATTTGGGGGATATCTGTACTATTCTGACATTCTTGGACCTCAAGAAATTAGATTGGCTGTCAGTACTTCAGGATTGATCAATTTTCAGATCTATACCATAGTTTGTGAACTCTATAACTTTCCTACAAACTAAAAAATACATCCTAATTTGGGTTATTTTCACCAAAGACATGTAGCAGAATACATCTTGGCCTAAATTTATAAACAATTATTTATTTGTAAACGTTTATAACAGAAACAAAGAAAAACTTGTTTTTTTTTCAAAATTTTGGGTCTTTTTTTGTTAATTTAGTAAAAAATAAAAACCCTGGCGGTGATTAAATACCACCAAAAGAAAGCTCTAGTTGTGTGAAGAAAATAGGCAAGCACAGAGGTAAATAAAGTTTTAAAAACGGAAGCATTCTGTTTACTTTTACTTCTACATTGCGCTCGTATGGAATGCTGTGTAGAAGAATCAGACGCTCAGGGACTGATTATTTAAACTCCTGGGCTTCGTTCTGGATACCAGCCGTGACAGACAGCTGGCAGTTCCACCTACACCCTCATAAGGATCTGCCAGAGCCACTTAAGACTGGGCACTGCTTTAAAACCGCGCCATGACTAATAGCAAAGATCCCAATGGCATTTTAAAACTGCACTAGAGACTCTAGTGGTTAAAGCTAACTCCAGACAAAAAACACAGATGAAATACATTTATGGAAGCTATTTTGCTTTGCAAAACATTTGTATCTCTGTCCATTCAGTTCTGAAATTTACACAGTTCTGCTACACAGCACTGCCTTGTTTGATAGGGCAGGAGACCTAATATTTCTCTGTTGCAGTTACAGCAATTCTTCAGCCATTTGAATAAAATTAAAAGTCAGTAGCTATTCTTAAATTTTAAGAAAAGAACACTCACCTTTCCAGGGGTCCAACGCCATGCTCATACGCACTGCTTCTTTGTTGGTCTTAGGGAGGGGGGCACAAAAAATACCAAAACACAGAATAGGAGGGGGGGGGGGGGGGGGCACAAAGCAGAACTTCCCCTTTAGTACTTCAAGTTCTGCTTGAAGTAACATTTACAGGTCTTGTACCTCAAAAGTATGTGACTGGACAATAAAAGAAGCAGCACAATGAAGAGCTCATCTATATCCAACTCTGTTCTCTTCTCCTATCAGCATGCTCTTTGTAATGCAATACAAATGATTGGATCCTATTGTTGCTTCTCCCTTCCACAGCCTGAGCTCTGCTGTACAGTGGATTCCAAGAAACTGATACCAAATTAAATTAGAGTGGTAGTAAAGTCTTATTTATTTATACCTACAGATACAGTAAGCGTATAATAAGGTTTAACTGTAGGTACAGTTATCTCCCAAATGTGCACCGTTTAGAAGATATTTACTTTAGCAGTGCTGGTGATGTCACGAACGCATATGCACTGCACTCCCAATGGACGGCATGCCATCCATTGAGATAGCCATGCCACAGCTGAGTGCACGTGGGGTGAAATCATCGTGGCTCAGCCAATCAAACTGCTGCATCCCATGAACATAGAAAAAAGACCAGATGAAGATGGAAGCTCTGAGGGGCCATGACAGCACTCTGCTCTTGGGCTTCGTTTTCAGGCAAGTATTTCATAATGTGCGAATATGCGATGCATAGTAGCACATTATGCTCTTAACTTGCAGAGAGAAGATTATTTTGTTTTAGGTTTTCTGGTTTACTGCCGCTTTAAGGTATTTATAGTGATTGCATGTAAAAGAATACATTTAGTGATGTATTCATGAATACAGAGATGTATTAATGTGTCTGTTAAATCTGTCTGTAGTTCAGATTTGAGAGTCTACATAGCTTTGTTCATGTCACAAGTATAATTGTATAAAAAGTATAGCTTTTTAAGGGTCAAATAGATTTTTTTTTTTCAGGTCACAAGTATAGACAGAGCCATTAATGAAGGGGAATTTCCCTGCACAGACATATTAATTTACTTACCTAAGATTGCAAAAATGACCATGAAAAATAAAAGGAGCAGCAGAATATCTATGAATGGTGGCAGAGACTGGAAAATCTGGCGCAGATTCCTGTGAAGCAACAAAATAGTTTTACAATTTCTGCACATGCAGCCTGCTAAGTACTTCACTGATAAACAAAATGGCCCTTTACATAGAAGTATTATCATGCCATATAAATTGTATTATTTGGACAATCTTACACTGAATCTTTTTTTTTTTTTTTAATCCAAACCCTTTTATTACGAACAAGACCACAAGTTACAATGCATGGCATATATATACGAAAACAGGTAAACAAGATTAAACTTTTATCTTGTGATACAAGGTCATAACACTGTGAAAACGTAAGATCAGTACATACATAGTCCTGAGTATCATTTAGCAAATAGAGTTAAATTTAACCAATAAACAAACAGGTGGACTTATTTACAAACTGAGGAGCAGGACTTAAAGACTCCCGCAGTCCAGTCGCAGTCAAGGCAGACTTATAAAAGACTGGCCTAAATTCCTGCAGAAAGCAACGCGATCTCCACATAGTCCATAAGTGCAGAAAAAGTCTCTGCTAACCAGGAAGAATCATTAAGGAACCATTCCAGTGATCCCTTGATGGCTCAGCACGCCAGTACCAAGCTAGTACCATAGCAAAAATCCGAGGAGCGAAGGCCAGGATGAAGGAAATCTCCACAATTTACAATATACGTCCCCAACACAAAATGAAAGAAGCACTGAGACTTAGCCCCGCAGGAGACATGCAGGTACGCATCCCCAATGTCTATGGAGGCCAGAAACTCACCTCGAAGAGGGGAATTTCACGACAGAATGGGTGGGATCCTGCCTGGAACTTCTGCACCCACAACTGGTAGTCAGGGCCCTAAGGCCCAGGATTGGGCATTCCCCGACTACTGGACCAGCAAACCAGTAGGAACAAGAAAATTCACACTTACATCCTTAGGCGGCCATACTGACCCACACCGCAAAAAACCAGCAAGAGAGACAGGAGAGGTGAAAACTGAACAGGGAGACTTGCTCTGGAGGACAAGAGCTCAATCCTTTTTAGGACTCAAACACTGTTTGTGGGACCAGTTGTCAAATATGAGCGAAGTCCATGGCTCTTGAACCAGCACAAAGGACCCCCTCACACCCTGGAAATGGGTGGGGAGAAACCTGAGCGCCAAGGAGGCCTTGTCCACAGGCTCATGTGAGGCCAGGACTGCTTGGCATCACCTACGAGTGCTTGAAGAGTGGAAGCTCTTTCATGAGACGCCAAGGAAATGAGAAAACCTATGGAGTGCAAAGAAGGAAAGACCGTGCTAATGACAGAGTTGCTTCACCTTTCTTGGGCTGTGGGAAAAGGGAATCCTTGCTACTGCAAAGTTCTGGATGACGCACTCAAGGTAGCATTGAAGAGGCAGTAACCCAGGAAGGGTAAACCCACCCGGGCTGTGTAGGACACCAGGGCAGCAGACCAAACCTCCAGCTAAAAGGGACTCGCCGAAGCACCTTTGCCAAGACAGATAGCCTGGAGAACCACAAAACTGCATCCAGGGATGCATTGTACAGTTAGTCAAGGTTCTAGGCTATTTGATTCTCCATTGATGTCAGATACCTGTCCTGTACCCATTCCCCCATTCATAAGATCCTGGGCTATGAGCCTGAGATACCAGGTCCGTGCCTATCACAGAGCACAGCGTCAAAACCAGCAATGGTGACTTAGTGCGGACAACTGAGTCTACCTTACAGTCTGCAGGATTCAAGGCGAAGCAAACCCCTTACCGGAGCCACAGCTGCTTAGCAACCTAGGAATGGGGGGGGGGGGCGGCGGCAATCCACCATAGAAGGAGAGGACCATTTTGCATACCCACGTCCCTAGCTAAAGGAGCATACCCATCTTATCACAATAGGCCAAAACACAAGCCGTAGCATGATCCCCACAACCGTAATGTCTCAACTCAATAAGGATAAAGTGTGTGTGTGGGGGGATGAAGAAAGCACCGCAGCACTCACGGACTTCCTATGACCAAGTTCTGGGACCACCTGCCAATATGGGGGTACAGACAAGGTGGGCTGCACCAGCACAGACAGCACATTGTCCAAACATCTACACCACAAAATAGCGGAGGCTGGGGGACTAGGGAAATGGGTTCCCAACCCGCACCAATTCATCCCAAGGGCATAGAGGAAGAGGGGGGACTGGCAAAGGGACCCAGGCCTATGGGTGTGGAGGGGATACTGCAGAGCCAACCAACCTTGGGAGTATCAGCGCCCTGCACTGTGCCCAGGGGCGCATATGCTTACCGATCCATGGAGGTTGCTGGTAATAATCCCGAGACATATCCTCCTCTCCATCGAAGTGGGGGGGCTGCCGGCCAGGGTGACACTGTGACACAGACTCTGGCACCTGGTCAAATGTGTCCCAGCAAGACGTTTAACATGCTAGCCAACCCAGTCAAGGATGGGGCATGTCGCAGCCGACCTTACTCCTGAACACTAGGCAGAGATAACTGGTTTGCTTATAGCAGAGAAGGGTTTTATACCAGCTAGGACTGCCCATAGGTGGTGCTGTGTTCTTTCTGCCTAGTGTCCTACTCCTGTAAGTGGCACTAAAACCCTATGTCGGAATAGAAGAGCTGTGTCCATCAATTAACATAAGAGAAATTGGATTTCTATCTCAGTGCGTGATTTTAAATGGTCTATAGCAGAGCTTAAAATTTCAAGTCCTGAGCTACTAGCCAGGCCTTAGGAGTTACTCACCAGCAGTTGCTCCACCCATCCTCTACCCTGCCATGCCCCTAATCCCTCCCCTAAACATGCCCTCGTAAAATCTCTCATTAAATGACACTGTTAAATGTTTTATGCAGAATACAGTTACAGAAATAAATATATACCCTCCTTCACCCCCCCCCCCCCCCAGCCATGTCCTCTAACCCCTTTTCAAAAAAAAAAAAAAAAAAAAAAAAGAAAGGGGGGTGAGAGAGAGAAGGGGATGAGAGAAAAAGAGGGGAGGGGGCAAAAAAGGGGGGTGATTGGTATTTCTGCTACTCACAATTATGGCACCATCCCCCATAATTTGAGGTTATAATGAGCATACAACCCCCCTCTTAGAACACATGGTCTCCATTATGGTACAATGTGCCCCCCCCCCCAGAACACACACACATGGCCCCCTACTACATAAAGTGAATAGAGAGCCCCCACCACCACCACATACACACACACACATACAGACACAGACACACACCACATACATACAGACAGACATACATACACACAGACACATACACACACACAGACAAGCACACACACACACCGACACACATATACACAGACTCACACACGTCTCCCCTCTGGCTCTCTCAGCCTGTCACACTCCGTTTCTCAGCACTCCGGTCACAGACAGTTCTCCCCCTTCCTCCCACTGTTACATGCTGAGTTCTCACCAGTCTGTGAAGTGTCCTCCTCCTTGGGCTCTGTTAGTCTCTCTTTCCTCTCACCGGACTGGACTCAGAGCACACTTGCATAATCCACCCTGTGGCCCTCCCCATCCTTTCAGAAGCCTGTCATAGGACCTCCTAAGGACTCTGGGCCCTTGGGTAGTGTGTGAGTGCCTAAATGCCTTAAAGCTTATTCTGCCTCTGGTGCCGGCACCCCACTCCATATCCATTGGCTGTTTGATCAATCTGGCCCTCGCCCCCATGTTATTTCCACTCACGAAATGCGAGCAGGCGAGTGAAAATTTCAAGGCCTGGTCTATAGTGCCATATAACTAGACAGGCAGCAGATGCCAATTTGTGTAGCCCTGTTGCCTTGGCTATGTGTTTATGACTTGTTGAAAACATGCTAAGGCTACATGTACACTAATCTCCCTTGGATGTAAAAAAAAACATGGCAAAATCACCACATTCAGTGATTGGGCGTTTATCCATTTTATTGGCCAAAACATTCCTCTCCTGAATGCGATTCTTCTGCATTCAGGAGAAGGATGTTTAACTGTCCCTAAACGCTGTTGCTGCTAAACTCTGATAAAAGCCTATGTGTGCATGAAGACATAGGCTTTTATTGACTTGAGTTTAGGGGCGTTGGCAAAAAAAATGCTAACAGCTCCTAAACACACGTTTAGGAGCAGCAGTGTACATGAGTATTAACACACTATAGAGAAGCTGCAAGTGATCAGCAGCTTAGCCAATAATCAAATTTTTTTTACAATTTATGAATATACACACAAAAAAAAAATGAAAAGCTCTTTTCTCACCTTCTGACTGCCCCACAATATCTGCAGTCCACTAAGAAAATAGGCCGCAGGGCTCTTGTTACACGCACATGGGAGGTCTGTCTTATGAGCACCACAATAGCTTCCACAAACTGAACCAATAAAACACAACTCTGCAAAGACACATAGATAAAAAGAGATAAGTGTGTAATGCAACACAAGCATGATTATTTACCTACAATAATAAAATACATTATTTTCTAATGACTGGATTGCAGAGATTTATTTTGGCAGACTGACTTTTAGCATGGTCCTGCGGTGTCTCAAGAAGGTATGACACCCAAGCCATCTCATCTTCATGCTAAGTTCAAACACCACAAAAGCCAGGGTAAGTAATTCCAGAGTGGCATGGACCTGAAATATGCAAACAGATGAAATAAGCAAGGAAGGTTATACAAGAACAGCAATTATTTTATACGGAACAAAATGTGTATCTTACAACAACAGGATGGCTCCAAGGCTGCATCCCATTAATTAGTGGCTTAGGTTCTGTGGAGAACTGAATACAGGTTCTAAATAATTAAGGAAGCTTAGAAACATTCATAGATCTGCAGACTCTTCTGACAAGCCTGACTAACCCCTCGTGATTAGCTGGGAATGATTTTCCTGCCCATCTTCTAGTGTACTACCCCTGAGATAAGTAAGGTGCTCCCACCACCCACCTCCATAGCCCAGAATATGCATAGCCTACTGATGCAAAAATTATGGTTTTTCAGTTTATCTGTTTAATCCTTTTCTTGGAAGTACATCACAAGACACAAAGGACTTTTTAAAAATACTTTGGTTAAGCTGCCATCTTTAAGTGAATGGACACTGGCCAAAAAAAGGCAGGAATCCCTGTCCAGGCATAATCCATCTCAGCTCAATTAAGCCTCAGTTCTGTAACAATCAGAATCAGACAAGGGAGGTCTCTCGGTGTCCTGTAATGTATTTCAAGAAAAGGATTTTACAGTTAAACCAAAAACCCAAATTTCTTACATTGAACATCACAGGACACAGGGTACTTCATTATCATGACTACTCAGGATGTCCCAAAGCAATGAACAAAAAGGGGGGGGCGCACACAGGTGAAAAGCCCATCTGACACCCTGCGCAAAATGCTTTTACCAAGGAATGAGAAGCAATAGATTTCTGAAACAGAACGTCCAAGGCTGAGATCTGTCTCTTGGTGGTACTTAAAGCCAGACACACCTCCACACCATACTGGAGAAAGACCAACATGTGCCCCAGGACATACTGTTGGGGATAAAACTTGCAAGTCTCACACTAGGCAAAAAAGGCTTTCCATCCTGGAGGTCAACTTTTCTGCTTTGAGAAGACTAGGAATTACAGAAACATCCCTATCCCTTAGGACTTGAGCTTCAATAGCCATGTGGAAAAGCCAGTGACTGTAAAAAAGTATGGGAGATTGGACTCTGCAACAGCAAAACTAGCTGATCTGGAACAGCCCAGGGCTCGTCAGGCAAAAGATGTACAACGTCTGCATACCATGTTCTTCTTTGTCAAGCAGGTGCAATGAGAATCACCAGAAGGCATTCCACCTTTATTCTATGAAACAGGCAAAGACAAAGCTGCAGTGAAGGGAAGGCAGAGATCAGTGAAAACTGATGCAAATAATGCGCTAGAGCATCTACCTACAGATCCCTGTCTTGAGACAGAAATTTGTACAGTTAGTTGTTGAAATTTGGATGCCAAAAGATCCACATCTGGCATTCCCCACTGCAGGCAACACACCTGAGCGAAGAGCACATTCTCCCAGATTCAGCTGCTGTCAGTTGAAAAAATCTGTCTGCCAAATTTCCACATTTGTAACATGCACAATAACATGAAATTCTCCCTAAGACAAGGTTTGCTTTCCTAAGCAGTATGACATCTTGCCCCTCACTGATGGTTGATATATGCCACAGTGTGACATTTTATAACTGCACCCTGACTGGAAAACCCTGAAGGTAAAAAGACCAGTGAAGGAGAGCCAATTGAATCTCCCCATATTTCCAGATGTCGACTGGAAACATCCACTCCTCTAATGACCATGTTCCATTAATCAAGAAACTCTCTAGAACGCCTCTCCCTCTTGACAGGCTGGCATCCATCATTAAGACCTTCAAATTTATTGGAAGGCTTTCCCAGTATCCACCATCTGTGTGGATATCCAAAATTCCATAGCTGACCTAACGGCTGTCACATGTCTACAAAATACTGAGTTGAGGAACTCTGCTAACAAACAAATTGTCCAGTTACCCCACAATGGGAATACCTCAGGTCCTCAACAATCCCAGAACCAGAGAATTGTGGAAAGGTCGAAAGGCAATGCCACAAACCAACAGCCGCGACCTTCCACTACAAATTGCAGATATCATTGGTGAGACTGAAAAAATGGATATGTGGAGATAGATGCCCTGATATTCACTAGCCATGCCAGATGCCAGGAAGTCCCTCTGATAAAGCCAAACAATCACGGATTGGCTGGAATGCATCCTGAATTTCTGTATTTTCAGGAACTTGTTGAGACCCTTACGGTCCAAAACAGGCTAGAAGTCTCTGTTTGAGCTTGGAACTGTAAACAGATTGTATTAGAAGCTGTGAGACCATTCCCCTTCCAGTAAAGGTGCAATGACCCCTTGGGACAGCAGCTTTTCCAGGGCTGCAAAGCAACTGCTCTTTTTTGGCATTCTGAAAATACCCTTAAGTGCAAAATACCATGGAGGGGGAAGCAGCAAAATTCCAGCTTGTAGCTTCAGGAAACCATGCTGCAGACCCAGTTGTCTGATTTCCTGAGTTAAGGTAGTCATGAAGGCCAATAGAGATTCCCCCACCTGCATGATTGGGGACTGTAAGGAGGGTTTATGCAGTTCTTCTTACGAGACTGGAACATACTGTAAGCTTTTTCTTAGAGCCCAGTATCCCCATTGCTTATGTAAGGAACTCTTCTTAGATTCCTAACGTCTCAGCAGTTTCTGATCTGTTACCTTCACCAACTTCTTTAGGGGTTTTTACCTACAGTCCCCTTTGGATTCTGGATATCCAAGAATGGTCCAAACAAGTGTTCACCCCCCAAAGTAAAAAGTCTAAATTTGCATCTGACCAACACGAGACAAAAAAATCCTTCTTATGTGGGCAGACATTGTGCTCACCTATGAAAGCTGACAACTGAAACTGAGAACATGAAACTCTGTTCCCAGAAAATTTTCCAAGAACTCCCAAATAGCACGATCCCTTGGGTTTAATTCTCTGAAATGGAGCATTTGCTTCGCCCAAACTTTAGAGCTTGGCAAACTTCTACAGCACGCTACAGAGCTGTACCTACCAGAGAGAAAGAAGCCTTCCGGAGGGCCTCTATTCTCTTATCATGGTGTCACTAAAGAGTGGGACCTCATCCCAGAGACCATCAGGATCTTATTTAAGTAGAAAATGGCTGGGTCAACTGCCCGAGAACCCCATTTCTTGTAGAATTCCTCCTCTATGGGGTATTGCTGAAAAATCGCTTCAGAGGTGAAATATCTTCTCTAGGTAGGCCCAATTGGCATACATAACTTACACCTGTAAGTGAAGGTGTACTGTGGACCAAAAACCCAGTGACTTTTAGAGAAGAGCAGTCCAGAAGTGGCAATTTCATACTAGAGTATACTGCATCTGTGAAGAAGCACATTGTGTTCTTTTGTGTCTGCAACAGACCCGGACCCCAAGACTCCTCCTCAGATTCATCAACAGAGGATTCCCACTGCTCAACAGCTTCCTCTTCCCCATTTTGATGATGTTCCTCCGATGCCTCATCTTCCCACAAAAAAGAGGTGGAGGAGAAGGAGAACGCCCATGCTTGCGTCCCAGGTGTTCCAACCTTGTGAGAACCCCTAAGAACTGGTCCTGCGAACCAGAAATGGCTGCAGAAAATTCCTCCCTTGACACAAAGGAAACAGAAGATTGTGACCCTGAGATAGTGGAAATATAAGGCAAGGGCAGAGTTTCAGAGAAAATCTGACCTTTAGGGGAGCCATGCTGAGGGTCTTCCTTACCTGAGGAATTTAGGGGTCCACCCAATCGTCTTTTTCCTCACCTTTCTGCCTGCCTGATGTCATGGCTTTCTGAGGGTTAATAGACCTGTGCTGTAGCTGTGCAGGGCAATGTGACTAGAAGCCTGAGACTGCATGGGTACCTAAGCCCAGAAACCAGCAAAATAGCACCGAGCATGTGCATATGTTTGCAATCCAGTTGTGTATCGCTCTACTAATGAAAACAACCCACAGTGCCCCACACTCTGGGAACACCTCCATGGAAGAACTGCCATATGTTCCATCCGTTTCAAAAGCACTCACCAGTTCATGATGCAGGGTGAAAAGGCCCAATCTTCACGATACACTAGGGGCATGCCCGCATGTCCTTTAAAGGACTTGGCTCCCCTTCAGGGGAATCGATGGCCTGGCCCTGTAAAGCACCCTGCCAGCAAGGTCACTGGTTACATTGTAACCTGGAGATAGCTGCCCACAGGATCCAGCACCAAACGGCAACATTACAGGCTGTCCCTGATCTTCCATGTGTGCTTCGGATACAGTCCCTCTTGGCCTTCTGGCTGTATGAAACTTACCTGGATAAGGCTCTTCCCTACCCCAGAAGGGATGTTCAGAACAGGCCAGGGAATAAGACCCTGAAAGGAGGCTTAACCCAAGTATTTGTAAATATTAATGATCTATGTCCTGTGAAGTATGATTAGGATAGTGTATTTTTTGCACATCAGTGTTTTGTTTAACAAATTATTCAATGGCCACAAAATGTATTGACAGCTGCCATCTAAACTCTGTAGGCAACCTTAGCACTATCAGTAATTAAAAAAATGATATATACAGTATAATTACTTACAGGGTCACAAGATTGCCAGATTTTAGGAACATTGCTGTATGGTATATGAAAATGTTAAAGCAAACCTGTCACGACTAGAAATAATTAAGATAAAAGCACCCTGTAAAAATAGAAGATTTATGTTTACCAGTCCAGCGGTAGTAGTATTAAATCTTGAAAAGGCCCGGGCTGGTCTCCCAACACTTTCATCGTGTGGAAGATAGCACATCCCACGCCGGGTGCTATGATTCCTCCTACCTACCCTTACATCACTACTGGACACCCTAGTGATGCACATCCCAAATTGTACAGGCAACAACACTGTAAAAAGATGTGAGCGTAAATCTTTAAGTAGGTATACGTGTTCTGGTGACTATTAGGGTTCAAAGAGATCTTCTCTCATTTCCTGTTTTGTCTCTGGGTAAGGAAAGAAAAGAAAAATTTCCCAAAAGAACAAAAAGGAAAAAAAAAAAAAAAAAAACTGGCAGGGGTTCTAATCCTTCTAAATAAAACACACACAC